AAAGATCCAGTCCCCCGGCACAAACAGAGCAATGTTGTGTATGCTGTTCAGTGTCAGGAGGGCTGTGATCAGTCTTACATCGGGGAAACAAAACAGCCACTGGCCAAAAGGATGGCCCAGCACAGAAGATCAACATCATCAGGCCAGGACTCTGCGGTCTACACTCATCTCCAGGCCAGCGGTCACTCTTTCAGGGATGAAGATGTTCACATCCTGGACAGAGAGGAACGATGGTTTGAGAGAGGAGTAAAGGAGGCCATCTTTGTGAAAAGAAATCGTCCATCATTAAAACGGGGTGGAGGCCTCCGGGTTCAACTGTCCCCCTCTTACAATGCTGTGATTGCTAGTATCACTCAGCCCTCTGTGAACAGTAAACAGCCATCAGTGTGCTAATGATCCATTGTTATGCTGATGGTCCTTCTTGAGCATGTGATCAGCTGGTTTTGGTTGTCAGCAGCAAAACTGGTTGATCCACCCTGAGACGGTGCTATTTAAGAGACTGAGCTGAATACAGCTCCTCAGACTGAGGAAGTCTCTCGGATGAGAGACGAAACGTTTCTACATTTTTTTGTTGATTTGCTTTGTTTTGTTTTTTTGAATGTCCAGAGGACCAGATTGAACTTTTTTAGATTTTTCTACCTGGATTATTGAGCATGCATCAGGATAGTCCACTTGATGTGTACAGCATTGTGGTGGAAGCAGCTCGTGAACCCTGAAATGTACGCACCACATCCTGTAGGAGGCCCCTCTTTTCTAAACGGATTCGTTCAGCGGCAAGACCCAAAGATGTTGACCTATTTCTGGGTAACACCTGATTGCTCTTCCTACATGGAGGAGAGCGTCCCCCCACAGCAGTTTCCACGGCCAACCCGATATCAGTCGTTACAGATTCAGGAACCACGGAGCGCTTATGCGTTCGGGAGTTACGAGAATGACTGACAGTTCTTCCTCCCTGACCTGGTCCAGGGTCCATGATATCAGCAGGACTGGAGGGAACGCATAAAGGAGCATTTTTGGCCACGGGCTGTGAGCGAAGGCGTCCACTCCTAACGGTGGGTCGTCTCGTGGGCTCAGTGAGAACCATAATTGGCACTGGGCGTTCTCCCGTGTGGCAGACAGATCCACTGCTGCTTGGCCAAACCTGCTCCAAGTCCAAGAAATCAACTCGGGATGGAGGCTCCATTCTCTGTGGTGGGGACTGCCCCTCGACATGATATCCACTTGCCTGTTCAGGACGCTGGGAATGTACACTGCTCTGGTGGAGAGCAGGTTTTTGTGTGCCCAACACAACAGCTGTTTCACGATACGTAACAGTTGGGCTGAGCACACGTCTCCCTGACGGTTTATGTAAACTACCGTCACTTTGTTGTCTGTGTGGATCAGAAAATGCTGATCCCGCAGCAGGGGCAAAATGCTGAGTCACGTTTCAGACTGTGAAAACATTCTAGCACATTTATGTGAAGCAACATGTGGTCCAGCCACTGTGCTCCCACTGCCTGGGACAGACACATTCCTCCCAGCTTGACAGGAACGCATCTGTGAAAACTGAGAAGTGTGACGTAGGCCTGCTGATGGGAACTCCCTCTGACAGAACAAGGGGGTTTCCCCAGTGATTCAGATCGGTTCTCACGGAGGGGGGCACAAAGATAATTCGCCTCTTCTGGTGAACAGGATCTATGCGCAGGCAGGCGAACCATCTCTGAAGGCGTCTCATGTGAAGTAGGCCCAGCGGAACCATGATGTAGGCTGCTGACATCGTCCCAGGAGTTGCATGACAGGCAGACTGTCACTATGCTGCAGAGTTTGACATGGCGGAGCTGAGCTGACAGAGTTTCGGCTCTCAGCTGTGATAAACGGGCTCTCATTGTGGTTGAGTTTAGCTCCACTTCCAGATAAACAATCATCTGGGACAGACGAACTTAACTTTTTCCCAGTTTATAGAAAACCCCAAGTTTAGCAAGTGTAACACTAGCGTTTTGGTCTATGCGACTACTTCTTATCTGGACCGAGCTAATAAGAGCAGATCGTCCAGATAAAAAGAATTCTCATTCCTGCCATGTGTAACGACTGCAAAGCCGTCTCCACGCATTTCGAGAATGTGCGTGGGGTGTTTCAGAATGATGGAAAATATGAAAATATGCGCTCTTCAGATCTATGGAGGTGAAAACCAGTCGTTCTGGTGAAGTTCTCCAGCAGCTGTTTGTCAGCATGTGGAACTGTCTCCACATGATCAAATTGCTGAACATGAACAGGTCAAGAATGGGTCTCATCCCTCCAGGTTTTTTTTTCAAAACGAGGAAGTAGTGGGAGAAAAAAAAAACATATTTTCCTCTCTGTTGGGAACTCTGGAAATCATGTTTTTCGTCAGAAATTCCTGAACTTCTGACTGGAGAGACGAGCTCTGTTCTGGAGAAGACAGAACCGTCTCTATAATCCCTCTGAACGGTGGGGGTTGAGCTGCTAACTGCAGCGTGTAATCCCTGCTGATCAGACGGTCCGTCCAACTGTCCAGGGAACACACTCGCTGCCACTCTGTGTAACGCTCGGAGAGCTGGCATGCATTTTGTGTTGTCATGTTTCTCATGAACATCAACCAGACTAAAAAACCTTACTGCCATCACCCGCTCTGGAGATTCCCCAGGGGGAACCCAAGGGTGGCTCCGACAGAAAAAAGGCTGTATATGTGGGGGGTGGGGTGGGGTGGGGGGGGTGGGGGGGGGGACCAAGGGAAAAACACAGATCGGTAAAACCCTCCACTCTGGAGATGGAGGTAAAGGTGAAGACGGATGTCTTCAGTTTGCCGGGCCCAGCTGCAGCCTTGTTCCAATGTGACGTCACAACTGGACAGCGAGGCCAGATCATCCGATCAGGGCGGAGGGAGGCAATGGACGGAAAGTCCCTTTGTGTTAGCAGCCTCCTGGATTATGCCGGGCAGCTCCGAGAGGAGGGCGTCGACAGCTGGGAGTGGTGTGGTCACCGACGTGGGAACATTCGTTCGACCACTCTTCTTCCGTCACTACGCTCTCCAAGAGGGAAGTGGCAGCAAGGTCGTTTCCAGCATCGCCTTTCATGGAGGAATCATTCGATTCACTGCGTGACTCTGCGTCAAAGAAAGGCGGTGGCGTCATCCCGCGTGTAGCATCCCACCACGGAAAAACACTCAGCAGAGCTGCTGCCTGCATCGCCTTTTTCGAGGGAATCATCCGATTCACCACAAGGAAAAAACGTTAGAAAAGGCAATGGTGTCGTCCAGCGAGTAGCGGCCCTCCACGGAAAAACACTCAGCGGAGCTGCTGCTAACATCGCCTTTTTTGAGGGAATCATCCGATTCACCGTGAGGAAAAAACATTAGGAAGGCGATGGCGTTGTCCAACAGGTAGCGGCCCGCCACGGAAAAACACTCCTCGGCACTTACCTTGAACAAGGCTGCTCATCTCTGCTTCTCCTCGGGAGGAAGAGCTCACTGGGACAACAGGAAGTTGGCGTGGCAGAGACCCAGGCATCCTTAGCAAAAGTTGTGCCGGTCAAAGCTGGACATCTTTTCCTTCTTCGTTCTTCTTACAGTGCTAGCTAGCTGGCTGAAGAAAAAATGGGAGCCGATTACCCAGTTTCACCGTAATTTATATGGACCGGGGGTGAGGCCCACACAGCAGGTGGGCGTGGACTAAATTTTCAGTGCTGCGCTGCGTGCGAAGGAATAAACCCACTAGTGATAGCCTGAAAGGGCAAAGCCTATACGAAATAGAACATACATCAAGACATGCACAATGCACATTCATTCTTTCTTTATACAGGTTAGTCTCATTGAGCCTTGGGGACTCCTTTACAAGAGGGACCTGTCTTTAGCAAAGAACGATGACAACAGTAGTCAATCATAAAAGAAGGCATATAAATTGACAAAAATTGAAAAAAATGATATTAAATCATGAAACTAAAACAGCTACATTGTAAAATGATGCGCATGATTGCATTGTTGTCACGAGCAGGTCACAAGACGATGTTGGCACTCAAAAATGTCCACTCATGCTAAAAAAAATAGAAGTAGATGCTGACTGCACGGTTTTCAACAAAAATGGACTGCTAAATATTTATTTACTGAAGTCAGAGGTAGAGCTGTGTGTTTATTTGTGGAGAGCAGATCACAGGAAAATCACTGTAAGAAAAAAGAAAAATCACTGTAATGCCACTTTAATTGGTGATATGTGACTTATCTGTGCTGCTGCTTATCCATGCTGCTGATTTATTGCCTTCATGCTGCTGTATTCATATTCATCTGCTCATTACAGACTCATGTTCAGGCTGCTGTTTAATATATTGTATTATTTTATATTATTAGTGGTTAGCATATATCTTAGATCCTCGTATACTGTTTATTTTTATACTTTTTTTTGCTATTTTTGGGTGTAACTGAGACGTTGAGTACACAGTTTCATTCTGCCTCATGTACCACATGTAGTGTGAAAGACAGTAAAGAACCTTGAACACTGAACCTCCTCAGGGTCTTTGACTCACAGTAGCACAGTTTCTGTTGGTATCCTTTAAGTCAACAGCACTAATAATAATAGTAGTCGTTGTTAACCCTGGCCTCAATTTATCTGCTATGGTGTCACTTAAATGAACTCGTATTTCTGCTTTGGCTAAAGTGTTTTATGCCAAATGTGCTTCCAGACACAACCCACACCAGTTACTCAAAGTTGAGACTGGAATCAGAAATACATTGGTTTGGGCTCCATAGTCTCTGATTTATAATAAAGCTAAATTCAGAAACTACACTGGGTTTTCAACCTTCAGATAATCATTAACCCCTGTAATATATAAACTTTTATGGCTTAGAGAGCAACAAATCTGCAATTACATGACAGAAGAAATAATCATCTTAGTTAAGGCACCTTTATTTAAATGTGCTCCTTTTACACGTGACAGGACAGTGGCTGGAATTTGAACCCAAATATTTGAACTGCCAGGTACATGTTGTAAAAAAAAAGTCGTCTATTACCTCTGTCGAGAACAGGTACGTGACTGAAATGCATGATCTAAAAATATAATAGAATTGATACATTGATTCTTTTTATTCTTGTTTGAATTTTATTTTTGGAACACAGCTGGATCAGGCATTTATTTCTGTTTTTGACATTTAGGAGACATGCCTTTGCCTTGCATGCGTGGAACATTTGTCTTCTTTGGCTTATGTCTTAGTTTCTTCATACCACACTGTGATGGAGGGAACATTTTAGTGTACTCTTTGGATGGCAGCCACTGGATCAATATGAAGATTCTCCTGGAAGGACTTCATGCCAGGGGACACAACATCACTGTGATCAGACCTTCTGTTAGCTGGTACATCCCAGAAAAATCTCCCTTCTACTCATCCATTTCATTTGAAATGAGAAAAGATGTAGAGGACTTTTTTGATGAGTTCATAGAAAATCAAGTGAAGGTATGAGACCAAATATGTGCATTTGGCCCTTTGTGTAAATCATTTATGCTAAATACCTTTATTTTTTTATTTTTTTTGCTTTAGGTACTCAGAGAGGAAGGTTCACTGCTGACTTCCTTCAAGCTTACCAAGGAGATACTTTCTATGATAACTCGAGGCCATGCACTTTGGTGTGATGGTTTCTCTCAAATCTTTGAAAATCCACAAATACTAAAACGCCTAACAGATTCCCAGTATGACTTGTTTCTCACCGATCCAGGAATTGCAACAGGGGTTGTGTTAGCTAAATATCTCAAACTACCATTAGTCCTAAATGCGCGCTGGATTACCAGTGGAGAGGGTCACTTCGTGTTGGCCCCCTCACCATTTTCTTACATCCCAGTTCCAGGATCTGGCTTAACAGACAAAATGAATTTTATCCAGAGGGTCAAAAACATGCTCTTCTACAGCATCATATGGTTTCAGGAGAAATTTTTGTTGGGGCCTATCTATGATGCCATGTGTGAGAAGTATATAGAGGGTGGTTGTGACATTGTCTCACTGCTTCAAGATGCAGACATCTGGCTGTTCAGGTCAGATTTTGTGTTTGATTTCCCTCGGCCGACAATGCCTAATATTATTTACATTGGAGGGTTCCAGTGCAAGCCAGCCCAGCCTCTACCAGCAGAACTGGAGGAGTTTGTTCAGAGTGCTGGAGAGCATGGAGTGATCGTCATGACTCTGGGAACATTGGTCAAAGCATTGCCAAAAGAGATTGCAGAAGAAATAGCCAGTGTCTTTGCCAAGCTTCCACAAAAGGTAAAAGAAGTTCTGTGTTAGTTTTTTTACTGTAATCATTTGAGTTGTTACATATTTGTTGGCTCTACTGCTACTGACTATGTATGAAACAAATGGAAACCTATTCTGTAAGTATTAAAACAACAAATTTTGAAGTACCGTACATTCCATTGTCCACGTCGCACCACCATACAAGTCAAATCAGTCCAAATATGTCTAATAAAGTGAAAAAAAAAGACATTAATATGTCACTTCGCTTATAAGTCACATTTATTATGCAACACCGCTGATGTGTCGCATTTGTTATGCATCATCGCTGACCACCCGGAAACGTAGGCCGGTGTGCCAAAAATCGATTGGCTGCCAAATGGCGGCCACGGGAGCATGCACAGGAGAACTTTAATAAGAATTTAACAAGATTAACACTTAAAAACAATTATTAGTTTGCTCAAAATTATAGCAAAGGTGTGTCTCAGTTTAACTTTTCCTTAATAAATGCACTATATTAGTCAAATCAGATGCATTTCAAAAATTGATTCGCGGAAGCGGGAGTGGGCAGAGGGACGATTCGCTGTGTATTTTCTTGAAATTTAACAAGATAACCACCTAAAAACAATTATTTGTTTGCTTAACATTATACGTTTATTGAAACTGAGAACTGTCAGTCTATTTTATTGGTCATCATCACACATAAAACACACCCATAACTATCAGTAAAGTACAAATAAGTATAATACTTTCTTAGTTCACATGCACTTAGCATTGAACTTGATGGAATAAAACATATTTAAAGGCTATTTGATGGACAGCTGTCATGCACATTTAAAACATGCGTACTGATTTGGGTTTTACACCCAGACACAATTTTAGTCAAATTCAAAGAAGCATTTATTAAACATTTACTTTAGTGTTGTCTTGTATTTTGTTATTCTGTTGAGATATCACAGTTGATTGTATTTCACTTGTTAACTTTTTATCTGATCAGGTGATATGGAAGCACCAAGGGGAGCGTCCCTCTAGGCTGGGCAACAACACACTGATAGTGAACTGGATGCCACAGACGGATCTCCTGGGTCACCCACAAGTCAAACTCTTCATAGCTCATGGGGGAACAAACGGAGTGCAGGAGGCCATTTACCACGGGGTTCCAGTTCTTGGTATTCCCCTGTTCTTTGACCAGTATGACAACCTTCTTCGTCTGCAGGAAAGAGGAGCTGCAAAAATCCTCCAGTTAGTTGACATAAACAGCCACACATTTGAAGAAAGTATAAGAGAAGTGCTGTATGAAGACAGCTACAGGCAGAACATGCAGAGACTGTCACGTTTACACAAAGATCAGCCTGTATCTCCCATGGATAAGGCCATCTTCTGGGTAGAATATGTGATCCGCCATAAAGGAGCTCGACACCTGCGCACAGAAGCTTATAAGATGCCTTGGTACTCATATTATTGTCTAGATGTTTTACTTTTCTTCATAACTGTAATGGCTGTGATCGTTCTCTCAGTTTTAGCAACCTTTAAATTTCTGTTCTGCAGAGGAAGAAAGAACGCAAAAAGCAAACAAAACTGACTGAAATTAAAATCTTGTTTTCTCTGTCCCAAGACATTTTGTCTAAAAGTGCTGTGTGTTTAATTCATTTTTTTTCTACAAGTGCAGTGTTTCATTTTGAATATTTGAATATGTGTAAAAGTTTGGATGGTAACAAAACTTATCTTACAGAATCATGTTTTATTTTGTTGGACAATCTTCTGTGAACATGTAATGGTTAGAATGACAATTTTAAATAAACCTTGTTCTGTTCTCTCTAATTTTACCATCATTTAGTAACCATATATATTTTAATGACAGCAGCATTTTTCTTGTTTTATGGGGGGTGTTCTGATGTTTAGCTGGAACTTTGCCAAAAAATCTACATGTTTCAAGACTGGAATGGATTTTTTTTTTCTATTTACTTCAAAGTCAAAGTTTCTTTATTTGTCATATGCACCACATGTGGTACATGTGGTGGAACGAAATTGTGTACACAGGGTCCCAGTTACATCCAACAAAAGTATAAATTGTAAAGAAAAACAGAAATAGGATCTAATATATGAACTAAGAAAAGTGTTAAACTAAAAATAAGCTCAGCACTAGTAGTACAAAAACAATACACCGAACAGCAGCAGCACAAACGAGTCTGTGTGAGCAGATGAGTATGAATGAATACAACAGCATGACTAAATCAGCAGCATATATCAACAGTCAACTGGCATTACAGTGATTATTTACAGTGAGTATCCTGGTTAGAGATTCATGAATTTAACAGCCTCAGGGTAGAAGCTGTTCCTCAGTCTAGTGGTTCTACACTTAATGCTCCTTAACCTCCTTCCTGAGGGGAGCGGGGCAAAAAGTGTGTGTGCTGGGTGAGTGGGGTCCTTCATGATGCAGGTGGCCCTCTTCCTGCATATGAAGGTGTAGATGTCTGTGATGGTGGGGAGGCTGACTCCAACACACTCTGTGCAGCCTCCATGCCACATGTTGATGCTGGAGCACAGGATGCTCTCCACAGCACACCCGTAGAAGGAGGTGAGGACTGAGCTTCCCAGACCAGCTCGCCTCAACCACCTGAGGAAGTACTTGTGAGTGGTTAAAGAATATTTACCTTAAATGATAAAATATTTTACAATTATGAAATGAGTTATGATCCATTTTAGGGAGATCAACAATTGTTTTATGTTTATAATTTATGTTTTATGTTTATAAGTGTTTTTTATATATATATATATATATATATATATATATATATATATATATATATATATATATATA